CTAACCTACCCTAGATGTCTTTATTTTTAAAACTTCTAAAGGGGTTTAGGTGATCTGATTAGTTGAAATCCAAGCATCAGATGGGCCATAACTTGTCAGTGAACTTTGACATTAAGTCCATGTCAGTAGTCATCTCGGTATCAGTCATAGTAAGCTGCCATCTGTTTCTTTCATTCCTCTTTGGCTGTGTCTGTGTCAATGAGTTGGTTTAGAGGCATAGAAACCAGGAGTACAATCTGTGCAATGCAATTGGGGTCAGAAAGCTTTGTCCTTTTGTCATTAATACTCTGTAACTCCCACTTCAAGTCTCAACTTTTATCTTTCCAAGGTTCCCAAGCCAAAAACTGTCCTTTATGTTACCATCCCAGTTTCCCAGTATTTTCTTCAGCTAAATCCACCCTGGTAGTCATATTATATCTATTATACCAATGATTGTATTGCTCATTTTAGTGTTTCTACTTCATTGCTTTGATGTCTCCTTTTGCTTATGTCATGTGACCAGTATCTTCATGGTCTTTATGAATATTGATTGTACTTGTTTTGTATTACTGGTCAGTACTTTGCAATGACTTTGTGTCAGGTAGTGTGTGTTTCCAGTCCTTATCTTTCTGTTGAGGTGAATCTAATATCCTAAGCCCTCTCCTAATCTTGGCAGTGAGCCTGTTCTCTTTGAACGAGTCTCCCTCTTCCTGGTTACCCCTGCCGGGTCCTGCTCTAGGCCCATCCCAGTGAGTCAAAGCAAGGGCAGAAAATGAGCCTGGACTAGGAATGGCCCAGTCCCTGGAGGCCAAAGAGTGAGAATGAACACATGGTGCCACCACAGGAAACTCGATTTCTTTTTTTTTTTTTTGGTACTGGGGATTGAACTTGGGTCCTCAGCTTGAGAGGCAGGCGGTGGAACCACTGAGCTAAATCCCCGGCCCAAGGAAACTCGATTTCTGAAGAGCGAGGACATGCTGGTGGAAGGAGTACACCAGCCTGGGTGTGGAAGGGCCAGGGCAGAATCAGAGCAGTGAATGTTTAAGAGAGCTGCTGTAGCCACACATGTCCTCACTGCTGTGATGAACCAGCAGGTCTTTGCTGTCCTGTGTTCTAAGTCTTCCTTTACAGTAGCTACACCTTGTGCAGAGCCATGCACCAGGCAGGTGCAGATGCTCCTATGTAGACAGACGTGATGCCCTTCTACCTGGCAGTTCCTGGCTGTAGGGACCTATGAACTCCCTGCTATATCCTGCAGACACTATGGGTATGTGTATTTGGGTTTCTTGAAAATAAATCCCAAATGTCTTCAGATTTTCACAGAGCTCCTGATGAGCAAGGATAAAACAGTATGAGTGGAAACACAGGACAGTATAGGATGAAAAGTATGAATGGCAAACCATGAGAATCACAAAGGACACTGCTGACAAAGAGAAAGTTGTTGTCAGTGGTCTCAAAGCAGATCATGGTGTAGTCCCCTGACCATGCCACAGAAAGGCAGCATAAAATAAAATCATTCCCTTATAACACATGAAGTCATTCTCAAATCATGTCTACACACAGACAGATAAAAACACTCTGTGAACTACAAAAGCTTCACAAAATGCCCCTTTCCTGCTTAGCAGGGACATCTGCCCCTCGCTTACAAAGTACAGCTCTGCTTTGTTCTGTTCTGCTCATCTCCTACACAAAATCAAGATGCACAACCACGGAATTGCCTTGCTACTTGACAGCAACCTACACAGTATAGATGTTTTATTCTTTAGACTTCTCCCAACACCACCTAACACAAAACCCAATGCATAAAAATTCATTCTTGACAAACTGTTACAAAGAATTTCTATGAAAAAAGAAAACTAAAGCTAAAGCTAAAAAATAGTCAGTTTTGTTTGACTATAACCATGTTCCTGATGGTCTTTGCTTAGAGGCTGATGACCCTCTCATTCACTGCCTTTATTCTACTCACAGCAACCCAGGAAAAAGAGATCGCAGATCAAAATCTTATTTCAAAGACATAAAAACAGATTCAGGCAAGATTCAGTCATGAGTCAAAGCCAAGCTTTCTGATTCCAAATCTCAAGCTGCAGCTCCAAAATGGGGCCAGCCAAGAACTCTGCTTCGAGGCTGAGTAGACTATGGTACAGTCAGCCTGGAAGGGAGGAAGGTCCCATGTAAGCAGGCATCATGGTGAACTGTGCCGTGGGCTCTGAGGGGAGACCTGTTCAGGGCACACCACCCCGCAGTCACAGCGAAGGTGCCCTGCTTCACAGAAGAGAAACTGAGACTCCGAAGGCAAAACTTGACCACTCAACTCGGAAGCAGCAAAACTGAAATTCCACCTCTGCTACAGAAAGGGGGTAAAGGAGCAGGCAGGTTTCCTACAAAACACAGAGGCTGTTGTACCTGCAGCCTCTTAGGGTGAGGTGGATTTCTGGTGGGGAAGCCAGAGTGGAGGCAGTATTGGGATGCCCCTAAAATCCAGAGCAAATACATACAGTGGCCTTGTCTATGGGGTGGGACGGAGTGGGTGATCAGGAGCTGATGCATCTAAAGAAGGTCCTCTCGTGGCAGGAGAGGCTTCCTGGAGATTGTGATCAGGAAGGTGCTCACAGCTGGGCAGCACTCAGATCTGTGGGTCAACCGTCAAACTGACTTCCCACCCACACATCTCACCCCCTCTGCTCAGTTCCCGGGCCGGTAGGGGTCTGGAGGGCAGTTTCCTGACCTCTGGTTTAAGTACATAATAAAAGAAAACACTGTGGTCAAAGCCAGCACCTTCAGCATGACCTGACATCAGCTATCTCACCTTACCTACTGCCACAGGAACAGGAGCAGGAAAAGGGGGAAGCTCTGATTACTAAAGAGAATTGAAGAAAACTAAGAAAGACACCTGCTGCCTTTCCCAGAGGCTGGATCTGCTGATCACCATCATTGTTTTAGCCATGTGGATGTCTGCCACCTTGGAAAGCTTTGCAGACACAGGAAAGTGGGGAAACCAGATCCTTCCCAAGCCAAGGAGAGTCCAATCAGAAAGGATCTAGTTGGGCATGACACACATTTCTTCTGGTATTCAGAAGCCTCCACCACATCCTATCACACACCCCAGAGGCTCTATGTGAAGTTCTCACAATGAGTTCTCTCAACACCCAAGCTAACATGGCTTTTTCATGACAGCTGCTACAGTATGGATCTGGAAAGTTTTCAAAATGTCTACATGTTAAAGATTTGGTCCCCAGCCTTTGGAACTACTGCGTGGTGGGGGAACTTTAAGAGGTGGGGCCTAGTAGGATGCTTCATAGAAAGGTAGGGCTTCATAGACCCTCGAAGAGGGTTGTAGGACCCAGGTCTTGTCCTCTGTCATTTTTGTTCCTGCCAAGGAGACAGAGAGCTTCCTCTGCCACAGGCTCCTGCCATGATGTGCTGCCTCCTTACAGGCACAAAAGCATCAGGCCAACTGAACTTAGACTGAAATCTCCTAAACTGTGAGTCAAAATAAACCATTCCTCTTTGTAACTTGACTGTCTCAGAGTTTTTGTTGTTGCTTGTTTATTTTGTTTTGTTTACAGTAATGAAAAGCTGACTGACACAGAAAATAAGTATTAGTAATGTGGGTCAGAATTGAATGACATTTGCTTCATAAGTGTATTGCTCCATTCCTTCTACGCTGTCCCAGTTGCCCACTGCAATATAGTTTAAGCTGTTTACTCACAGGGCTCCATTATTTTCTCTCCCACTTGCTGTTCTTTTGCCTTTCTTTCTACCTTAATTGAATAGCCCTCAGATATTCAAATCAGAACCCTGTATGTCCCTAAAAATCTTGCCTCATTCACTTCACATCCAACCATTTCCCAAGCTTAATAATTTACCCTTCCTAGTCCTAGCTATTTTTTCTTTTTCTTTTTCTTTTTCTTTTTCTTTTTCTTTTTCTTTTCTTTTTCTTTCTTTCTTTCTTTCTTTCTTTCTTTCTTTCTTTCTTTCTTTCTTTCTTTCTTTCTTTCTTTCTTTCTTTCTTTTTGAGACAGGGTCTTGCTGCTTACTTCAGGCTGGCCTTGAACTCACTATGTATCCCAGGTTGGTCTTGAACTCAGGGCAAACCTCCTGCCTCAGTCACTCAAGTGCTACCCTACTTGTTTCTTCATCCATTTGTCATTTCCCTAATTCAGCCACCATCGCTTGCCTCTAGGATGGTCTGTCTGCTTTTCTGCAGTCCTATTGCCTTCCAATTTTTCTCTGCACTATATTCAAATGAAGCCTGTCTGGCTATAATGTGAGGCAGTGTAGGCAACATGAAAGAAAATAATGCAGACTAAAAGGCCAGGGATTGTCTGGGTAAAATCAAGACAGATCTCTGAGACAGGTATATTTAATAGTAGAGCAGAGGCAGCTTGCAGTGCACTGGAGGATGGGATATCCAGGGAGGGGGACAACAAGTGTAGAGTCTGAGGTAGAATCACATTCGGATGTCAGTGGTAGCAAGTGGTCTTCTGGGCCTTCTTAGCTGAGTGTGCGTGCATATATGTTCATGTTTGTGTGTACATTTGGTGTCCACAAGCAGGTGTGTGCATTCATGTATAACCATATGAAAACAAGGATCTTGACTGCCCACTTGAACCTACCTCAAGTTATGGTAGCTCAGCAGTGAGAACTGGCAAAATAGATGGCAATTGAAGAAGCACTGTGTTGCTTGAAAGCACACAATTACCCAACACTGTGCTGCATGACCCTGCAGAAGGCTCCTGAGCAGAGTTTAGTACAACCTTAAAAAGAGTTGTTTATTAGTCAGGTGTAGTGGTACCCACCTGTAATCCCAGCATTCTGGGAGGCTGAGTCAAGAGGATTGCAAATTCTGGTCTAGCCTGGGAAATTAGACTGTATCAAAATAAAAAATGAAAAAGAGAGCCAGCCGGGGATGTAACTCACTGTGAAGGCTCTGGTTTAACCTCTAATATCACAACAAAAAAGTTGCTCAATAGTTGTTTATTAACCTGGAATTGAAAGCCAGCACTGGATGCCCATTGCACACAGTTGATTGCCAAATTCAGTCTCCTCCTTCACTTTGTGGAATCAGCCAGAGTCCCGGACTGGAGGGTCAGGCTCCTTGTCACAGAGCCACTGCCATATAGAAGCCCCATAAGTAAGTAATTTAAGTCATGTCTGGTAAATGTCTGGGGGTTTTGTTTTGCTTTGTTTTTTGGTACCAGGGATCGAACTCGGGTCCCTGCGCTTGCGCAGCAGGAGGCGAAACCACTGAGCTAAATCCCCGGCCCCCAATCTTTTTTTTTTCTTGGTACTGAAGATTGAACTCTGGACCTTGCGCTTTCGAGGCAGGCGCTGGAACCACTAAGCTAAATCCCCAGCCCATGTCTGGGGGTTTGGGGCCAAGAGACTAGGATCTTGAGTCAGGAAGCCTACAGAAATCATGTTGAAAGTGTCTTTTCTCTGCTTATGCTGGTGCACCAGGGAGTCTCCTTAATTACCTATCTGCAAAGAACACTGTCTTTGTTTTCAAGCAGAGCCATGGAGCAGTAGACTGGTGAGAGGGCCTGCTGAAGTTTCCTAGAAAGTGCTGGAAGATATCTCTGAAGGCCAGGTGAAATGCTAAGATTGAGAAGTGGAGGAGGGCTGGGAGGAAGGAGATCTAATTGCCAATAACTCTCATTCACAAAGTACAGGGAACACCAGCCAGGAAGTAGAGAGGGATCTAACACTCTGTTGAGCCAATATACTGAAAAAACTGGAGAAAATGCTGTCTTTGCCCACCCTGCTGGCCGTGGGGAAGAAGGCACCAAGAAGAGCTACACTCAAATTCATTCTGGCCTTGGCGAGTGACTAGTCCATGACTTGATCTGAGGTTAGGAGCTGACTGCCTCTCTAGATAACCAGCTCAGTGCTTGTACTGAGTAAATAATTTAACTGGCCTTGGATAGAAACTATCTCCTCAGATATAAAAGTGGGATTTGAGGTTTCAGTTGGGCCCAAAGAGAGGAGAAGGGAAACGGGGAGCTCTTGCAAACACCTGTGTCTCCATCCATCTTGCATTCTAGGCCAACAGGCACAAGTGAGCTGGAACCGTGTAGTCCTTTTGCCCTGACTGCCACAGAAAGCATATTCACAATCTCCCAAGACAACCCTGGAGGGCTGGGCACTGGGGACCACCTCACAAATGGTGGCCAGACATTTATCATCCCTATTTTTGTTAAAATACTAATCACATAATGACACAAGGATAATTTACTTTTCCAAGTAATTTTCCTGTAGGCTATGAATGGTTCATCCTTTTCTACATTGTCCGTGCCCGTTATAGGACAGATGCCATGTTTGGCAACTCTGGGTCGGTTAACTGAACCAGATAAGGTAATCTGTCTTGGCTTTTCCCACACCAAGGTAAGGACCATGTCTCTATTTTCATCGTTTCTTCTCCTTCTCCTGAGTGTGTCAACATCTCATTCAGAAACTGTATCCAATGAGGATGTTCGAATGACCTGCCCTGTGATTGCCTGTGGTTCTCCAGGATTGAATGGCTTCCCAGGCAAAGATGGACACGATGGTGCCAAGGGAGAAAAGGGAGAACCAGGTACCCATTGGGCTGTTCTTTCTTCATGGCTTTTTATTTTCCAGAAGAAACTTCCTGGAGGTATGAGGAGAAGAATACCTTATTGAGATAGATTGTATTTTTCTCTATATAGTATAAATCAAAGCAGAGATACAGCTCCTATTCTCTGGCATTCCAGATTTCCACACAGCATTTTGTGATACATGTTTGTCTTGCCTATTCAGAAAAGTGGCCCTCAGAGTAGCCTCTCCTGTGGAACACAGAAGGGATTTTTCTTCTATGGGTCATTGGATGCAGTGACTCAGATAGGTTAGCCCCAAGTCATCGTTTCCTTTCTTTGGGAAAGAATTAGGCATCAATCTCTTGAAAAGAAGAGAGAAAGAGTATAGATACCAAGTGAGTCTTATTTCCTTTGTCTTCCAATAGGTGAAGGACTCAGAGGCTTGCAGGGCCCTCCTGGGAAACTGGGGCCTCCAGGACCCCCAGGGACTCCTGGAACGCAAGGAGCAGTGGGGCCAAAAGGAGACCCTGGAGAATGTCCAGGTAAGGAAAACATCCCAGATAGGTCTGAACTGAAGGAATTCAGGGTTATGAAACCCAGAAGACCAGGTAGGAGGTGTCCCTTCCCCTTTCTAATGCTTCATAAGGAAATGCCCAACTCTGCTTCCAGGCCCAGGGCCCTTGACCCTCTCTGGTTACCTCTCTGGTTAGCCTCAGAGAATCCTGTCAATGCCTAAATAGGAATTTGCAAGGCTTTCAGGACCACTCTTTCATCAAGCAACCCTTAGAGGATCTGAGTCTGGGTTCTCCTTCAGTGAAAGCAGTCTAATGTGAGGCTTTGGTCTGGGAGAAAGAAAATAGGACATCTAAATGTGGGCTTATCATACCATTTTTCCTTATACACGGTACATTAGTTGTATTTTACTTTATAAGAAACCACCTGAAAACATAGTGAGCTAAGAACACAACCAGTTAGATACAGTTCTGTTAGACTCAAACTCTGGATTCAGCTGGGCTCATTCTTGTGTCTGTGATCAATTGATGCCCCATGGCCTCACTCACATAGCCATGTTTTTGTAGTGTTAGCTGGAATGATGAGATTCACCAAGCCGTGTGTCTCTTGCTGTCCAACAGGCTACCAGGGCTTGATCACAGAGGGCAATTACAGGATTCCCAAGAGCAGAAAAACATAAACTTCCAGGCTTCCTGAGTATTAGAACACATACATTATCATTTTTCCTACATTGTACTGCTCTCAAAAAGTCACAAGCCCAGGGTGGTAGGGATTTAATTCAGCGATGCCGCCACCTGCCTTAAAGATCAAGGTTCTGAGTTCAATCCCTGTTATCCCCCCAAAATGTCACAAGCCCAGCTCAGATTCATTAAGTGTGGAAATGGACTTCATTTCTGAATGAGAGAAGCTGCATCATGTGAAAGTCATGTTTGCTGCCTCCTCCATCCAGCTTGCCTTGTGCCCTACCCACCTGGACAGTGGGACACTCACAAAAATCATGGATCCTTCATTTATTTCAGAGCAAACTTGAGAAAAACAAACAAACAAACAATGAAAGGCAACAAAACCTCTTTAAAGACAAAATCTTCCATTCATTCTTATTTTTGAAGGAACATAGTAGTTAACAGATGAAGATTAATGTTTTAGGGTGGGTGAAATAGAGATTTTTTTCTCCTTAAGATTTTTCTTTTACCTTCAAAGTTAAATATCAATGTAAAAGAAACTATTTTTATTTGAAAATAAATATTCCAGTACCTTATTGTACAGTTCTGGAACTACATCTTAAAAAAATGATTTCTCACTCTGTTTTAATTTTCTAGTGTGTGATTCTAGCAAGGCCAATAGAGAAGGGGAATCTCTGCAAACCGAATTGGAACAGATCAAAAAGTGTAAGCTTTCTCTCTTATTCTTCAGACAACATAAACTTTGGGAATAGTGGAGGGCAATGAATATTGACTAAGTATATGTGATTTTCTAGTATCTGGATAGGTAATTCTCATAATCTGATCTCAAAACAAACTTTTGGTAGTAATGGAAGCAGGAGAGAAGTTAATTATTTGCACAAATACCCAGAGCTAATATGTAGTGGTAGAACAATTTTCTAAATTGAAGTCAGCCTGACCCCAGAGAGCCTGATCCTGAATGCTCTGATTTTCACTCATTGACAATGAGTCTGTTTCCTTTTCTTATGCTGGTGTCCAGACCTGGAAATGGAACCAAACTTGTTCCTTCTGGCTGGGCAAATTTTTTCAGACATCTGTTTATGTTCAATTTAATAGTGCAGTAGAATTTAAGAATTCAAAATTATATGTGTTCTGCAATTCTCATCCAAAAGAATATATAGGCTTTGTGTCGTTCTAAGCCTTCATTGAAAGTTTGCCAGATTTAACAGATAAAAGACAACACATGAGGTATAGTCTTTGAATTTCAGGTAAACAAACAAACACACGTTTTGGGGGGAACATAAGTATGTCCCAAAATTTCATGGGAGTTTGTATGAATGAAAAGATTCACTGTTATATGAAATTCAAATTGAACTGCACATACTGTATTTTATCCGGCAACCTCACTCTGGAAACCTTTACCCAGAGACATCTCTCAGGCTATGCTTAAAGACAGCCGATATCACCTACTTTTTCCCATTTTAGGGATATTTTTCTTTTTTGGCAAAAAAGTTGGGAAGAAGTTTTTCGTGAGCAGTAATGAAAAAATGAGTTTTGACAGAGCGAAGGCTCTTTGTGCCCAATTCCAGGCCTCGGTGGCCACTCCCAAGAATGCTGAAGAGAACAGGGCCATCAAAAATGCTGCTCATGAGGCTGCCTTCTTGGGCATCACAGATGAGGAGAATGAAGGGCAGTTTGTGGATATGACAGGAAGAGCACTGACCTACACCAACTGGAAACACGGTGAGCCCAACAATGCCAACTCTGAGGAAGACTGCGTGACCCTGCTGTCAGATGGCAAGTGGAACGACATCTCCTGCTCCGTGTCATCTGAGGTTGTCTGTGAGTTCTCTGTCTGAGGGAACACACCCTTCAGCTCCCTTCTTCCCAGAGGCCCACACTGTGCTTTAAAAGATAAAATGTAGCAATGCTCCTGTACACACTACTCTGCTGCTCTGTGCGGAATTGGAGAAAGTGAGGAGAATGAATGATACATGTGGAAGTGAGAAGCTAGAAGTCTGACAAGAGTGCAGTGAGGGCTCCAGTTCAGTCGGAATCAATATTGACTGTTAATAGCAAGGAATCAATACTATAGTGAAAGGAAAGTAGGAATGCTAAGTATATTTCTAATGCTTACTGTGAGCCAGACCCTACATTTTGTGTCTTGCAATGATTATTTAAATTAAGTTATAATTATTTTATTTCAGTTATGTTTACTTGCTAAACCATAAAAATAAAATGTGTATATTTTCCCACTTACTGAAACAC